TTAAATTGAATATTTTAATAAGTTTTTTTAATTTAAATTATGATATATGTTCATTTTGATTTAAATTAGGAAATTTTATCCTTTTGGATATTTTTTATTTAATCATCCCTCTGAACAATCTTGAATTTAAACTTAAATTGAAATTATTTGCTAGGATTAAATTTAATTTTGGATATGATTACATTTAATTTCACATGTTATTATTATTATTATTATTATTTGGAGAACCACAACATATTTTTTGATTCATTAATAAGGAAAATACAATGGCCTAAGAGAAGACAAAATAAAATTACAATGCTATGAAAGGAACCTCCAAAAAAATAGGAGCTAACAAAAAAAAGCCCCGCAAAAATTCGAAGGAACAATAAAAATGCTAGACGAACTCAGGAAAGCAAATCCTGCACCCACCCAAGCCGCCAAGGAAGGACAATCCATTGGATAGAGCAAATCACAAAGAAATCAAAGGAGAACCACATGAATCGACATCATCCCACAAGCATAAGAAGACCACCAATGAACCGCCAAGGTTGTCAGCAACCAAGGCCAAGCAAGGTTTATGCAAAATAGAGCTCCATCATAGTCCAATATCAAGCCCAACAGTAGAAAGACAGACCAAGCCAGGAATCCCCTAAACAAAAAAATCCACCCAGCACCTATCCCAAAGCCAAGCCAGCCAAAAATATAAAGGCAAATCTGAGCCAACCAAAAACACAAAGCCCCTCAATCGGCAAGCACCTCAACCTGGAATATCAAAACCACAAAGATAACTCAAAAACAACGAACATCAAAAAAAGGAAAGACACAAGCCTATTTCCTTTTATGTTTCCTCCTATGTCATTTTCCAACCCCCAAGGAAAAAAGCTTTTTCAATGATGCGACTTAAATTCAAGTTATACACCACATGCTCCTCATCCTCTTGCACCCCACAAGGAGAGGAAAAAGAATCATCAAGCCAATCATTATGATCCACGCCAGAACCTTCCAAATTAACCTCCAAATGAGCTTTCAAAGCATCGTGGGAAATAAGTACAACAGGAACATCAACAACAGACAGGACTGGTTCCAACGAATTCAATGGTGACTCAACAAAATCATCAATCAAAACCCTAGAGACCAATTCCTCCCCAAACGCACCAAGGCTAGCACAGACGACACCAGCCCCACCACCAACTTCCGCAATCAAAGAATCGAAAATATCACCAGCATCCGCCACTGCTTCAACACTAATAGGACTAGCTATAAGGTTTATTAAACAATTATTAGCATCTTCCTTGATATCATCAGCAATAGTCAAAGGTAAATCAGCAACTTCCGCCTCAACATCAACAGGAACACCCAATGACAAAACAAAATTCAACTAAACAGAAATAACCAAAGGAGAAGCATCCTCTTCAAAAACAAAACCATCATCAGTAACACTAGGACTTAACTCCGCAGCCTTATCATTTTCACCACAAAATTCAACAATATCCACCCCCTCATTAGTAGGCAGAGAAGGAAGCAAGGAATGGATAACATGATGATCCTCCTCACAGGTTACATTAGCATTGATAGGGTTAGAAGCATTAGTAAAACCAGTTAGGGGGGTGGAGGACGAATGTTGACGGCAATCACCAATCAAATGTCCAATACTCTTACGGGAAACACAAAAAGGGGGGAAAAACCTCCATCTCAACTTGTTGAATGTATCCAAATTTCTCCGGCCCTAACCACACTTTATCAGGATAAGTTTTTGTAATGTCCAACTCAACCAACACCCGGGCAATAGAATTAGCATTATCAACCTTTAACGGCATGCCAAAAATCGAACCCAGACCGTAAAGGATATGGGGGAATAAGAGGTGAGGGAAAATATTCGGGAATGAAATCCAAATAGGGATCACCAGAGACTCAACACCAACATCAAACAAAAGAGAGCATTTGATTAATTTCATATAGCAATTGTTAACTAGGTAAGATCTATGGCAGAAAACCCTACTGTAATCAAGATCATTAACCAGATTAATCAAAATATACGACGGATCAAGCAAAGTTACTGAAACATTTCAATAAGCTTAAGGTTGAAGAAGAACCTTCGAATAGAGTCGAGAGAAAAATGCCTACCAACTAACGAAAATAAAGAGCCGTCAGAGCAATAATCTCCTCCTCCGAGATCCACAGAGAAGGTAGGCCACGAAAAGAGGAAGATTTAAGGTCATGAAAACTTGCATTTGAAGAACTACTAGAGAGAACATCAAGAAAGGAATGAGATTTGAACGATCCATCCAAAAAGACAAGATCGGCCAAGCGTTTCCTAGCCATCCGGTGAAAATCGACCGGAAGTCAGAAAACCTAACAAAACAAAATATCAAAAAAGAAAAAAAAATAAAGACAGAGGGAACAAACTTCTTTGAGGCCAGCCTTCCAACCAGAGGTGACAAAAGCCGTGGGGAGAAACCCAGCAGAGCAAAGGGGCGGAAGGGGAGGAAACCCTAAGCCTGTGGCACGATGGTAGAGGGTAACCTTGGCCATTCAACCTCGATTTCATATGTTATTATCTTATACCCTATTTCTAAAAATAAGGGTTATGAATTAGAACTGAATATTATTATTAATGATCAAATGAATTGAAATAACAAGATCCCCCATTTATTCTCTCCATTTGAATCCCTCCCTCTATACCCAATCTTCTGTTTCCATTGTCCTAGGTATATATCGGTTCTAGTACTTATCTCTATCATTAATGTTTGGTGTTCCTAAGAATGTTTTCATCGAAGCAATGGACCTCCAATTTCCATTTTCTTAATGCCTAAATATTGTAAACCATGCCCTCATTTGTCAAGATTCTAAATCAAACTGTGGATTTTATGCTTGAATGTGATGCATCTAATTTCAAAAAAAAAAATGGCAACCTACCTTAACTCTCATATGCTTGGTCTTGTAGATACCTCTCTCTCTACAAATGGCAGTTGCCCAAGTAATGCTAAATTAAAAATTCATCTCCTGGCATCCTGCAAAGGGTTTTCTAATGATTACAACCAAAATAGTTCGTTTAAGAAGTGTATAACCAAATTTGAAAATATGTGACTATAATCTACCATGGAATAGCTAACCTAATCAAAATAAAGAAATTAACTGATTTGGTGCCGAAGGGGAAGAGAAAGGGGAAGGGGATGTTGATGTTGTCAACTATCAAATTAGCCGGGAATGCTGATGGGGGTAGGAGGAACTGGAGGCAAAGGAGCAGGGGGAGAGGAAGCCTGACAATCACTGTAAGTGATATTTTTATTATTTTTTAAACTCTACAAGAGAAGAGTTTTACTAGGATAACAAAAACTAATATAGCACATGAGCCCAAATCGAAAATCATGGCTAGACCACTATATAAATTGAATCAAATTAATGCATGAGATTTAAATTGTATTTGTTTAGTTAGGTTTTTTTTAATTTAAATTATGAATTGTGCATTTAGTTTAGTTTAAATGGGGATGAATTAATAAATATGTGACTATAATCTACCATGGAGTAGCAAACCTAATCCAAATAAAGAAATTAACTGATTTGGTGCCGAAGGGGAAGAGAAAGGGGAAGGGGATGTTGATGTTGTCAACTATCAAATTAGCCGGGAATGCTGATGGGGGTAGGAGGAACTGGAGGAAGATGATGGGATGAAAAGCAGGTGGAGGTTGAGGCAAAGGAGCAGGGGGAGAGGAAGCCTGACAATCACTGTAAGTGATATTTTTATTATTTTTTAAACTCTACAAGAGAAGAGTTTTACTAGGATAACAAAAACTAATATAGCACATGAGCCCAAATCGAAAATCATGGCTAGACCACAATATAAATTGAATCAAATTAATTCATGAGATTTAAATTGTATTTGTTTAGTTAGGTTTTTTTTAACTTAAATTATGAATTGTGCGTTTAGATTAGTTTAAATGGGGATGAGTTAATTTTTTGGACAATCTTATATTTAAATATATTTTTTTATTAGCTAACTTAATCCAAATAAAAGAATAAGCTGATTGAAGATTAAAATGCACTGACTGTTTGTCCCGAAAAAGGGGGGAATTCTTATGTATCAGAAAAATCTACTGAATTCACGATACAACTAAACTTTGCTTTTTTTACTAGTAATATTATTAATCCCATGAAATCCATGGAATATAAAGAAGGCTAAAGCCCCCTCGATACATGCATTCAAGCTGGCATAAATGGTCATTCATTCTTCAGACTAAAGCATCCAACAAAATAATCAAGATTTTCTTAATCATAATGCTCTTATAAATAAAGCATAATTGTCACATATTCAATTCGCTATTTTTATTTTGTCTGATTTTTGCTTAAATTGCACTCTTAACCTCTATTCTAAGAAAACATTGATAAATAGGGCATCAAATCAGTTACAGAAAAATTACTGCAAGGATATTACAGTTGAGGAGATCATTTCTATTTAAAATTAATAGTAATATTATTTCAGGAATAGAACGACCAAAGGTGCAGCATTTGACTCTTCTAAACTTAGAAACAAACTAACCATTACGACAATTACATAAGATGTAAACCCTCCTAAATAAAATTCCTTTGAAATTTCTCTACGATATTAGCAATTTTTTACTTGCCATCCATAAATCAAAAATACATCTATTTATGAACATCAAGAGTTCAAATGATCCAAAGAGATAAGAAATGGCATATTAATGATGCTATATAACAGATTTATCAAGTAATATGATTTGCCTATATCAATTAGATTCATTAAATAACTTGATGTAAGCTGTAAAATTATTCTTACTGTTGTAAAAATGAAAAAATAAACATAAAAAGATAAAATCCCATTTTCAAATACACAGATAAGACATACATTTCCACACAAATCAAAAGTATAGCTCATTATTTTTTTCCAAAAAAGATGCCCTCCTTTCTTCATTTCCGCCACTAGAAATCGAATAGAAAGAAAAAGAGGAAGAGGAAGAAGAAGAGCAGGAGGAGGAAGGAATGGGGTAGGAAGAACTCACCATCTCCCTCCTTATCAAGAAGGCAAAAGGCATCTCGGAACTCGGAAACCTCCTCCTCGGTGAGGAAATCCATGCCTCACTCTCGTCCAAAAGGAAGCCAGCAGGAAGGAGATCTACATAGGCCAAAACACAGCCCAACCATCCTTCCTTTTTGTAGCATTTTTCGGAGCTACCAAAGCTTCTTCTTCCAACGCCTCTAACTTGTGGATTCTCTCTCACTCTCTCAAAAGAAATCCTCGAGCGATGTTTGCAGATTAGGTCGCCTTGTGAATTGGAATCCATGAACTTGTCTTAATCCAGCTTTAATCCATTGTTTATGAATTAATTATCTACCCAAATGATTGTGTTTCCATCAGCAGACGTTGCAATTTGAACCAGTCCACAGCGAATTTTTATTAGGTCCGGACACGCAAATAAAAGGTCAACCACGTGCTTATTCTTTACGGTGCAACCCGACGATCCGGACTGAAATCCAATATTGCTATGTATTATGTGATTTGTACAAATCAGGGTATTACTAGGTTTTGTTCGGTATTGCATGGTAACTAGAAATACCATTCTATCAAGACCAATACCTAGCAATACCGAGCAATGCCGAGCAATAACCGGTTTTGCTAGGTATTGCTCGGTATTGGTCTTGACAGAGCGGTATTTCTCGTTATTGTCAAGCAATACCTAGCAATGTTGAGCAATACCTAGCAATATCGAGCAATACTTAGCAATACGCGAACATAGCAATACCGGGTTTCCGTTCCGGGTCGAGTCATCGGACTGCGTGGTAAAGAGTAAGAGCACATGGCAACATTTTATTGGCGTCCGGATGTAGAGCTATGTCAGGTGTCCGGACCTAATAAAAATTCATCCACAGCGGCCAATTTATAAAAGGACACTGCTTTAAATCTAAATTAGCTTAAAGAACATATTAACAAATAAATTTAAAAAGAAGCATACACTAAACTTAATTATTCAGTTTCAATTGAAACCGGAACTTTATTATTCGGTTCCTAATTTACTTAAAATTTGAGAAGAAACTGAAATATAAAAGCACGGATTCTAAAGAAACCGGATTAATAAATTCCTATTTCTTTTAAAAACCGGAATTTCTTAATTAGGTTTCTAAGAACCTATTTAGATTATATTCTTTTACTTTATTATTTTATTTAATTCGATATTCTAAATGAACCAAAAATAATCAGTAATTACTTTTGAAGAATCAATCATATTTCTAATTGTTAAGAAATAACAGATTTAAATTTTATTTAATTTTGATTTTTTTTTAATTTTTATTCAAATTTCTTTAGTTTTTAGCCTCCAGGCGTCTCCTCCCCACCGAGGGAGGAATCAGGATGGCACTGCCATAATTTCTTCTTACTCGGACCTAAGGTCAATGGCAATGGGCCTTGGAATTTAAACCATCCCATAAGGAGCTAAGATTGACTGCGTGAGGTCTTCAATTTGAAACCATTCCAACAGGATCTAAGATTGACTGCAGGATCTTCATATTTAAAACTATCTGCCCGTATTAAAAATTAATGGAGCAGGTCTTTGAATTTTAAAACCATCCACCCGAATCTAAGATCATGGCGCGGGTATTAAAATTTTTAAACCATCCCGGTCAGAATTAAATTTCTTTGTTTGAATATTTGATTTGATTTATGTTTAATTAATGGATTATTTTTATTTCATATCTTAAATTTATTTTTTTATTTTTATTTATTTAAATTTTATTTTAATTTAAATGTTATTTTTTAAAATTGTAAATATTTAAATTATTTTATAAATTTTGAGATAAATAAAATATATTATTAATTAATTAATTATTATTTTATACTTGATATATCATCAAATATCTTTTTGATCGGGCACGAATCTCGAGGCAAAATCGAGCAGGAAACTTCAAAAATTAAATTCGGGAGCATCTAAACTCCAATTTCAGCAAGCTTATAGTCAAACTGAGCGTCTCAGAAATACAAACCCAAC